GTAAAACCGCCTTCACACCTAGTGCTAAGGCAGGCTAATAAGCCGTGTTGGTGATAAAGAGTAACTCACAGTTTTAACTGTGAAAGAGCTGCAGCATTTCATCAATGCAGACGTATAACACTGTTGCCCTGTCTGAACCTGAAAAGCAAGAACACGGTGACTGCAACAAGAGCTGAACAGTAACTACGATTTAACGGCCTGCCACTCAGATACACTGAAACCTTGCTTACGACAAACTGATAATGTACGAAGTCAAAAAACGGTATCAACACATAGTTTATCACGTTTTTCCTGCACATTTCTATCTCCCTCATGGTACGGTAACTCTCAGATAAGAGGCGCATCTCTCCCAGGGCAGGGCAGGATGCAGTGCAAGCCACAACACGAGCCCAGCAGCAGGCTCAGGAGTACAGATCTGCGTTGCTCTTGGATGCAGTCACAACATCTGGTGTTGATGGGTTATCAAAAGAAAAAACAAAACAAAACAAAACAAAACAGAGAAAAGCACAGGAGGCTGCAGAAAGACCAGTAAGTGAGGGAAAAGACTCACAAAAAAATAAAATAAATAAAAATAGAAAGACCTAAAAATTATACAGCCGTAAAGTTATTTACAAAAAAAAATAAAATTATACAGCCCTCAGGGGGCGCTCAGGGCGGCCCCGCGGCCCCCGCCGGTTACCACACAGCGCGGCCGCCACGGCCGCTGCCCCGCGGGCAGGCCCCGGCCCGTCCCGGCCCACCTTCTCCTCCACGCAGCTGACGATGATGGAGGGGTACTTGCGGCTGAGCCATCGGAAGAAGGCCGGCACCCCCATGGCGGCCCGCCGAGCCGAGGCGCAGCCCTGCCGAAAGGAACGGAGCGGAGCGGAACGGGCCGGGCGGCGGCGGCGCTTCCGGGGCGGGGGGCGGCAGCGCCGGCCGCCATCTTGGGGGCGGGCGGGCGCAGGCGCGGGGCAGGGCGGGCACTGGCCGAGCTTCGGCTGGCAGAAAGCCGTGATAAAAAATAAAAACCGTTGGAAAAAAAAAAAAAAATGAAAAAAAATAATAAAAGCTACTTGAAAAAAAAATAACTGAAGCTGTCTCTCAGCCTTTCTGCGGGGTGGCTCAGGCAGAAGACGGATGATAAAAAGGGTCAGGGAAGGGCTGCTCCTTCAAAGCCAATGCTGCGGGGCTGCATGCAAGTTTAGTGAGACCCTCCGCTTTTTTTATTCAGAATAAAAGTTGGTCTTTTTCACCTGCAGGAAGAGAGGAAAGCACGGTGAACTCAGTGCAGGTCAGCCAAGCAGACTGGCAGGAGGGCAGAGGCTGCTGCACGAAGAAACCCCTTCACCGCATTGCGCCCACACAAGCAAACACTATTAAGTTAGGTGCTTGATGGTGTTGAAATGGAATTAAAGCTTCAGATACTAAAAGGAATTAACATGCAGCAGACTTTGTGCGCCGCTACCTATCCTGCAAAGGTCCTAAAGCAAAACTGCACAACTGCCAGCACAGGAGAGCTGTCTCCCACAGAACATGCTGACGTCTGTATGAGCAGGACAATTCCCAGCCAGTGCGGAGGCACAAAGAGGACCGTGCCCTCTCAAGCTGAGGCGTGGGATACCCCCAAACAGCAACATTTAGCTTGTTTTTGGAACCTTCTCCAACTATTTTCAGTGCGACCTGCATTGAACACTAGGCAATAAACCCCAATGTACATAGGTCAAAATGAGCCAGTCTACAAGGAAATGTCATACTAACCCTTCTCAAAACAGGAGTTCATTGGAGCTCTGCACATTACCTGAGTGCCCCCGCAGACTATGCCACCTCACCAGATGACAGCACCTATCCAGCTTTTTTTTTGCAGGCACCTATGTGCTAACTTGTTTCTGTGGGCGTGAGCTGAAGTTTGGCCTCAGCTCTGTACAGCTGTGTGGATGTGACACACAAAAAAGGACATAGCACTAAGTCATGGTAAATACACAGCACACTTCTTGTTATAGTATTTTCCGTAGATGAGTGGCATGCTGATTTAAATCTGTTCAAGCTGTATTGATTACAGTCCTGCTGTCCATCAGCATCATGTCATCATCTTGGGGCTGCCAGTATGACAGCTGTCAAGGAGCTAAATAAAGTTGACTGGCAGAATGTTTTGCATCTAATGAGTCTGTGCACAAGAGTATAATAAAAAAAAGTGCTCTGGAGGAACTTGCTATCGCTTAAATACTGAAAGAAAGATATTGCCGTAGCAGAAACTCCCAAAGCCATCTGTCATCTGTCATGAGCTGCATGTCTGCGGCTGAGCTGGACTAAGGGAATGGAAAGCACCAGAGACTAGTGATGGGTGCCTTGTATCATGCAAGGAGATTTAAAGTGGGCTGACATCAACAACCCAGAATCATTCAAAGAGCTTAAAACTACAAAGGCACTGCAGATTTGATGCAGTGTTACTTTGCAGTGCAGCCTGCTAGAGAGGCTTTTCCAACTGAACTTCAGTCTGACATTCACTGGAAATCATGTAGCAATTGCCTGCCTGTGGTGTGGCACACCACTGAGCTTATATTTAGCAAACGGCTAGAACCATCAGGAATGAATTACCACGGCTGATCAGAAAAAAAGAACCAAGGAGCAATAAAGCAGGCACCAGCCCTACCATGATGGGTTCAGACATTTGTTATGCTGCAACTCTCCTGGGTGATACTGAACCTACAAAAAGGAAATAAGCTTCTAGCTTACTGCCAGAAGGCTGAGGAGAAGTTCATAAACCTACCTGGTGGTCCACCAAGAGCAGTAGCATGACAGTGTTAACACTTCTGGTTGTACTGCCCCTATATTGCAGAATTCCTTCTTGAGTATTGCTGAAAATTTGCATGACAGTCCCGCAATGTGTTTTTGTCCTGCTGAGGCTTTGATGCTAGGAATGGACTGAGGCTGGCCAGAGTTATGAGGGAGTGGGGAGCTTTGCCACTCACCCTCTCCAAGCAGCCCAGCATAGCCCATCCTACACCATCACTCATCCCATGGGAATTGTTGCCTCAGGAAGCAGGAGACTGCTCCTGTGGTCCCCAGGCACTGCCAGCTCCTCTTCTCCTCCTCTAACCTACCACCTCTTGGCCATCAGCCTTTGAAGGGCAGATCACAGGAGCCTTAATCCAAAGTTACCTGCAATCTGATGGGTACAGGAACTCCAGCACAGTGGAAGAGGACACAAAATCCTCTGGTGAAGTCGCCCCTGTCCCAGGGTCACCCCAGCTAAGCGCTCCTCTTCCTTCTGCCTGGGAATCAGAGCAAACAGCTCTGACCTAGGCAGACCTGTATCCCTGGCTGGGATCCACATGACCACTGCAAGCAGCTGTCTCGTACTACAAGAGCCCTGGCCACACACTCACCCTGCTCCATCCTCACCAGCAGCTGATTTTCCAGTGGTTGAAATAATCACCACACCATTGCCAACTTCAAACTCGGGACCTATGAGATGAAGCAAGCCAACAGACAGCTATGCTAACCCTTTTTTCTGTTTCAAGCCTTCTGCAAGTCTGTATTCCATATTTTCAAGCATGGCTCAGACTACATGCTCTTTTTATTAAACAGAATATTGTTACCATTTTAAATTTGTTTTTGATGGACTAGAACCAAAGATTGGTGCCTGTATTCAAAGATGCAGTACCGCTTTGCAGCAGAGTTTAATTGGGGTGCTGTTTTTTGCTTTTGAACTTATCATAATTATGAACAGATTATTTTTTTTAATATGTCCCCTGGTTTCTCCCTTCGAAAGAAAATCTCATATTTAATGAACTTAATTTTAGATAAAAGGAATTAAAAGAAGAAAATTAAAAATGCATGAAGCTCCTAGAGTCATCCAATTACTGTGATGTCCATACAGCAATGCCAGCATGGATTTTACAAAGCAACTAAAAGCAGAAAATCACTGAGGATCACCACATGTAAATGCTGTTCTGCTCCAAAATGTGCTGAATTAGAAATGTATATTTTATGCATTTCTTCTTCTTGATCTGTTGCAGAAGATAAAGATCAAACATGCCAGGCAGCCCTGAGTAGCATATGTATGCATACCCAGAATGCCTTTATTTTTTCAAAACCACATTTAGATCTGTAGTCAAAATATTAGAATACATATATGCATCAGAAGAGGATAGTCTTTGCATTCACAGTGCAACAAAAGCAGCCGCCAATCTGGTCAGCAGTAGTATTGCTACCAGGCAGTGGTGGCCTAAAAAGCTTCCAGCAAAAAGAGAAGGCTGATGTAGCCATGAAATACTACTGTCCAGGCACAGTTTTCTTAAGAAACACAGAGAAATACATTTGGATCATTTGTGACAAGGAACAAACAGATTTGCCTCTCCATTTGTCAATGCCTCTTCTAGGTTTTGATTTGAATTTGACCCAAGTTCACAGCTGACAGAAAACGTTCACAGAGAAATACACACACTCAACATGATGCCATCACTGCCCAAAAGATGGCCATCACCACGCAGCAATATTGCCCAAGGACACGTTTCATGCTTCCAGTAGCTGGGACCACCCTCAGAGTAAGTTTAATTCTGTCAAGCTAGCAGCCAGTTTGTTTTTTGACTTAATGGATATGATTTCCAGATCGTTACTGACAGACACCTCACTCGTGACAAGCTATTCATCTCTGTCACACAGGATTACCCACACACTACAGCTGCATCCTTGGCCTTGTCTGCTGGCACTGGGCAGGAGATGCTCGTTGTGAGCAGGGACCTGCAGACAGCCAGCTCCAGGAGCAGAAAGAAATGGGGTACCATACAGATGGACCCAGCTCCCTCCTCAAGGAAGTTGTTTTAAAGACAGCCCCAACCCTCTGAGGTGAAACACTCAGGGACTAGCACTGTGTAACCATCTCAGGGACAGTGGACACATCTTCATTTGGTCCCCAAGAACAAAGACGTCACAAGTGGGCTCAATCTTATGGGTCAGTATTTCCTTCAGATTTCCTTTCCTTCAACTTATTAGTTAAGAGAAAACATACATACAAGGAGGCTGTATATAATATTTATTTTGCATTTAAAATTTTCTTCAAATACAAAGGGATGAGGTGCACTTTCAACATAGCAGCACTCCGACCTTGTGCAAGCTGTTGATTTCTTTCCTAAAAGCCAGAGGTGGAATCTCAATCATAGAAGTCAAATTCATCTGCTTCTGTGCTGTGAACTTGTGGATGCAAAGCAGCCTCACTCTCCGAGCTGCTGACATCAGATATGCCCCAGAAAGCTGCGAGTGAAGAAAAAAAAAATAAATTATAAAATCTTTTCCATGTTTATATCACCGCTGACATAATTTTATAGCTCTTTTGAGGTAGCCAGACACCATGGTTTGTAAAAAAAGGTCAGTGTTTCAAAACACTGCCAAGCCTAGGTGTGCACTTTGGATACAATGTGTTGTCAACAAGTTGCGGTCTCTTAATCGAGCTGCTGTGGAGAAACAGTGCACTCATTTACAAGTCTCACTTCATTGTTCCTCAAGGTAGTTTAAGGGAACATTTCCACTCCAAGCAATTTACTTGACCATCTGCTGCATGAATTACAGCTTTGTCTATCATGTTCTAATTTCTCCCTCTACTTGACCCTGAAGTGAAGTCACAGTCAGACCATGACATCACAGAGTTGGCATAAAAATGACAATGATGTCACAAATGGAAAAACACCACTTTGTGACAGGATCAAATCCAGGCAAAAATGACTTCAAAGACCTGGACGGCTTTAACAAATAGATCTGGTAATTAGCAAGCAATTTCACAGAAACAGAATCACATTTAAATTTGAAGTGCCTGAGAGATTCCTCAATATGTAAATTAATTTGACCCATGGAAGGAAAAAAAAAAACAGAAGCCTGACACATGGGGAAGTACACAAAGCTCTTCAGGATGAAGGCCTGATGAGATGATTCATGTGTGAAGGCTGCCAGCTCAATCGTGCAGTAACTGTTAATTTTTCCATTTCCCTTGATTTAAAAAGAGAAAGGAAACAAAACCATAACAACAACAACAACAAAAAAACAACAACATATCCTTTTCTCTCCAGCAAAAGTAGTTTCTTCACCACAAAAGGGCCACCAAGGACTGCTGCTGATCAGCAACAACACTGGACTCTGCAACCTTTGAGACAGCGTTTGAATTTAAAAGTAGCCCCAGGACAGCAATAAAAATAGGCTAACGGACTTGGGGAAAATGCAAGCACAAGTCAGGATAGAATTCACAAGCACAAGTGCTCCTTTCCACCTTGAACTCACAGTTCCCTGGGGCAGTGCAGGGGAAGGGGAGGGACATGGACACCTGAACCCACACTTCTCCCTTCCCTGCCCCAATGAATTCCCCTGCAGGAGAACTCATCTTTCCCCCTTGTAATCCACTGTAGAAAGTGGCCACAAGCTAGCATGTCAAGCCTACAGTTACTTCCAGAGCTACACTGTCTGCCTGTTCCTGACCTTGTCAGAGGGTGGTTGTTTCTCCAATGGTAGCACAATAGCGGTGATGCCCCAAATGAGGCAAGACCCAAATACGGATTCAGGCAGCAGCAAGAGAGGAAAGCTGTCAAGCCTCATACAGAAATTGCAGCTCATATTTGACTGAAGTACTGTTCACATACTTTGTGCTTTTGATGGCACAAGCTATATAAACACCTTATCTACAAATGCAGCAGCTGCATCTTTCATCCTATATCCCTGGCCCCCTGGCCCGCAGGCCTGCGCTCTGCCCAGGCCTGCCATGAACAGCAGAGTGATGCAGGCTGCACATGTGGGAAGAGAACAGACATGTCAAAAGGCTCCAAAAAAAAAAAAAAAAAGCTCCCAGCAGAGAAGTACACGGGTGACAGATGTGCCAGAGGCACATGAACAGCAGCAACGCAGCCATCCTTAAGCCAGTGCAGATCCCACTCCTCTGAAATATGTTCTGTACAGTTCAGGACTGCTGAGGTCCAAGCAAAGAGCTCATAGGTCCCAGTGCTGCCTTTGCTTACAGAAGGCTCGATTAGAGTTGACTTCAGACACCAGTGGTTATGGTGGTTAAGAGTAAAATCAAATAGAATGAAAACACCCAGGGCCCAAACCCTTTTTTAAAGGAAAGATTGCTTGCTCGTGGAAAAATTGTTCCAGACACAGGTAGGTACATGAGGGTGTCTGCACATGACTACAGTAAGCTTGTAAACAAACATGCTGCTGCCCACCTGTTCCTGCACCCAGTATTTCAAAGGGGAAGATCAAGAAACAGATTTTTTCTTCACTGCCTGCTATGTGTTACTATTTCATTTAAACCCTGAAGCACAAAGATTAGTGCTGCTTCCAAAACATATGCACTATGAAATGCATCCTCTGTGGTCCAGAATTTCTTATGTCAGCTATTTGCCTGTACTGACAGAGGGAAATTCCCCATTTTCCCAGCTCCTTAATAATGTTTGTTGTAGAAAATCTCTAAGAAAAAATACACTAAAAAAATATTGATTTTAAATAGCATAACACTTGTTTCTTACCTTTGGATTTTATAGCAGTTACAAATTCTTTCCTGATTCCAGTCCTGGAAAAATAGAAAGATTTTAAATATTCAGCACAATGCCACAAAATTAAAATATAAGGTGACTTTTTTCTAAGCTATAACATTAAAGAAACATCAGCAACTTCTGTAACTTTTTTTTTTTTAATAACTACTCTCTCCTAGGGTTTTTCTTCACTTTTTTTTTTTAACTTTATAAATGGTGGAAAAATTATCATGCAACAGGGACATTGGTCCAGATGTTCAAGCAGAGTGATTTGGAATCATTCCTTGCTAGCACTGCTGATTTACTCTAGTAGTGAATTAAGGGTACAAAGGATCAGAGCTTCATCTATCTCTTGCAGTCTTTCAGATACGCAAAGAAAGTAAAGAAAAAATCCAAACAAAAATAAAAGCACCCCCCCACTGATGGTCACTGAACTTCCTCATTTCCCTTCCTGTCAGTGCACTCCTCCAAGTTAGCTACTGAGTTCCCATAGCATCATCCGTGTCCCTATGTAAATGTGCAATCTCCCAGCTGCCTTTGATCTACCTTGATGTATATGCAGTTGCGATTCTGTTCTGTTAAATGACTGCTCTTGTGTCTAGAGCATCACAGGCCCTTTTGAATCTCTCAAACAAGCTGGAATCATTTTGATCTTTTGTGTGTAGCATGTGTATTGTGTTGGTGCTGTGAAATAATCTCATAGGGGCAATGATGTAGGAGAATTAACTGTTATATTAACAATCCTGCAATAAGCTCTAAAAATAAAGCCTCAGCTGATTTTAATAAGGAAGATCAAATAGGAGATATTTGTGACATTACTGCGTGAACCAGTAAAATATAAGCAAATGTCAAGCTGCAATTTGAAGTGGTTGCTACAGTTAGAATAGAACTCAGTTTCCAATCAGCTGTCAAAATTTCAAACAAATTTGCTGCATTTCATTTAAAGACATGGCAGCTAACACATAATTACTTGAAGCAGGTACTTAAAAGTATTCAAACACTACTGCCAGGGAGGTATTTGTGAAGGAGATCCAAAAAAAAAAAAAAAAAAGATAATTCACTGCTTGTCTTAACACTGTAATCAGTAAGAACTTGTGATTACAACTGGAAAGCTAAACTTAAAGCAGGGGGAACTTTCAGCACATTACAGCTACCTATGCTACAGCAACTCTTCCCTTCATGCTAGTTACATCATATTCCTTTTCTATGAGCTGTGAATGTCATTAGCACAAATCCCCCTTCTTTCAAGGGATACAAAAATTCCCCAAAGTAGAATATTAAACATATCCAAAGTTCAGCCAAGATACCAAGCCAACATTAAAGGACTAGCAACAAGTAACAATACTAGTTAAGTAGCAGTGTGACATAACTAGTTACATATTATTTAAATAAATAACTTTAAAATGTGTTAGCCTTAAAGACTACCTGACATTTTGTTAGCAAGCCATCCAAACCCCCTTTGGTTTTATTCAGTCAGATCCTAACCTGTATTCCGCTCCCACTTCCAATTCATTCACTTGACAGTACATTCAACAGGTAGTTTAAGTCAGATACTACGGTCTGAATCCCGCAGTACACCAAACACCCTTAGCTCTTGCTCACTTTGGTGAGATTTTCTGACCCTCAGCATTTCCCCAGAGGTGCTCAACATATCCCAGGCTCGGCCCATAACATGTGCTCAAGAGGATGCAGCTCTGGCAGCTGCATCGTTCTTCCCCTGGGCACAGAGTGGGAAGCCACTTGTTGCTGAGTTGCAAATTGAGAGGTGACTTCTGTGGCAGACCGCACAAGAGCCATTTTATCTTCAAGTATTTCATTAAAACAAGATCATGCAGCTGACAGTGACTGTTTACACTGCTTACTGCTTCGCCTTCCATTGTCAGGAAGGGAGATGTATGGGCTTTTACTATTCAGCCTGGAAGCGACCTTTTGCTCCACTTTTCTCCTTGGTTCAAGCCAAGATCAGACATGAGGGGGCTGCTCACGTGGACCCAGAGCCTCTGCAGCGCCATGGACCATCACATACAGCTTGGACACGGGATGACCAGAGGAAGACCACCCAGCTCTCAGGGAGCTCAGTCCCTCTTGCACAGCTCAAAGCACTATGCGGTGTTCCAGATCTGCCTGAAACGCAATGTCTCAAAAGTTGTAGGTGGACAAGGACCACCATAGCCATAGGAGGACCTGGAAACCTTCCCTCCTTTTCCCCCAGCTTTCCCTGAAGAAAGTGGCCAAAGCTGATGGAAGTAGGGGGAAAATAGATGCCCAAATTCTACAGAAGAACTTCAGTTTGTTAGGGTTCATCCTCCCAGGGCAAACTTATGTCCTAGAGCAGAATCCACTACCAAAATAGCACAGAGGTTTAGGGCTGCACGTCAGCAGCTGGGCTTTGGTGTGACAGAACAGGGAGTATATAAAAACACCAGGAAAAGGTCTGGCACAAAAGCTGTTAGCATACAGAGAAGTGCTTGGGGAAATACAGAAAATGGAACCAGGAAGTCAGAAAGGCCAATTCAGAAACAGCTACTCTTCCAAACCAAACCTGAAAAATACTGCAAGGCAGTTTTGTAACAGGGAACAAAATTCTTGAATTATGTCTGAAGTGGTAGTCAAAGCTGACAAGATGCAAGAAAAACTCTACATTGCAAAATGTCCAGACTGAAGTCAGAAAATTTCAATCATGACCGTTATCATCTGCTGTACTGAGCACACAATAACCACACAGACCTCCGAGGAGAAATTTTAGGAGCATAAATGCAGAAAGGCCAGTTTCCCTGCCTCGACTAATCCCCCATAGTGACCCTTCGATATCCATTTACACATTTGCTTCTTCCCTAAAATAATGGCAAACTCAACCCAGGCTCTAACAAAGAAAAAACCCAAACCAGTTTAACTTCAAAGGGCCTTTTAATCCCTCCTTTACTCTGATGAAATAGACTTTTTTTGTGCTGAAGATACTGCAACAGTAAGAAATGAAAAAGCTCCAAGAAAATATTTTTCCTTCCATAAAGAAAACAACATTAAGAGGAAAACACCAGACAAAAAAAAAAAAGCCAAGTTAGATGCATCTCACTGAAAAACAACAGAAAACGCTCACTGTAGCCTTGGTATCTTTTTTGTTAAAGCACTTGTTGAACTACTCTTTCGGTATCAAGAGAAAATGACACTCAAGTGCCACAAAAAAAAAAAAAAAAAACATATCACCCAACACGTCACAAAAGAGACACCCAAACACCAAGTTTCATCAGAAAAAAACAAAATGAAAAGCATGGAGGTTTCAGGAACACTGATACTCTGGCTGACATTGTCAGAGGTTTCAGGTCTGTGTGCCTCTGCTGTGTGAAATCAGCGCTGAAGCAACACGCTGCAGAAAACAAATAGAGCATTTATTTTTCACAAGGTAGGCTTAATAACCCTCATTGTAAGAGGTGACAGAGCTTTTCCCCTATGCAATGTGGGGATGCAAAGCTGCAGATCTACCTGTAAAAATCACGTTCTGAAAACATCTAAAAGCCTTTTAATAATATCAAGCCAGGCTACTCAGTGCCAGCGCTTCTGATGTGACAAAGCCTCAGTGCGGTGTGCCCCTGTGTGATAAATGCAGCTTTCCTGCAAGCTGCTGGAGGAGCCTGACGGCACTATCATTTTCTGCTGACAGTTTGCTAGAAATTGGGCATCACAGAAACATACTGAATTTATAGGGTTGGGAATAAACTAACAAGTGTACTCATCATCCTCCCCCCTACATTTTCTGAAGAATTGAAAGAGTAATGATGAATTTCAGTAATTATACTGCAAATATGACTCCCTTATTTTAGGATACGAATATCTCTATCAAGTTACATTTAAGGTCATTCCCTACTTCGGTATCCCACTTTGAAGGAAAAAAAATATTCTTGCCTAGAGAAACTGAGACCAAAATCTGTAACCGTCTAAGGACCTACCCTATTGCAGGTCCCATGAAACTATCTTGGAAAGACACAGGGCTTTGCTGCAAAAGTAACAAACTAAACGTTATTTGCTCCTTCATACAAATGTAATGTACACAGATACATATTGTTGCCTCTCCCTGCAAACCGTTCCTCACTAATATTCCTGAAGCATCACCACTACAACATCACTGTTTCCACAGCATTCGGCTTCTAGGATTTAGAAAACATGCGATACATACAGAATTTTCAGGAACATCTGTAATGTCAGAAAACACACCTGAGTTTACAACCAACCTCTTAGGGAAGTGGCTTGACAATTAGAAGTGCTGCAGAAGGATAAAACCATCAGATATGGACTCATCTACGCACGCACATCTCTAAGGATTCAGGAAACGGTCTGCATCATCCCACGCTGCCCCTGCATTCCCAGGGCTCCTCCGATGCTCTGAAGCCCTATTTCATTGTCTTTGAAGTTCCTAGTAAATGCACATCCTGAAAACCCCCAAAACCTCTGATATCTCTGGTCAAAGCTCCAGCCAAAAGAGACATCTTTCCCCTCACAAGTTCATTAATCATCATCAAGGTTTAATTTATTTATTAGAGGTAGAAGATGCAAAAGTGAATTTGAGAGCTCGTACTTCAGCAAAGTCTGAGTGCCCCCTGATGGTCAACCTGCTGCCATACATCGTGACACAGCAAGGGAAGTGCCCTATTAGTTATAGCCAGTTTATTATTAAATATCTCCTCTGAGAATAATTAAAAGGATGAATTATAATCTGCAAACTTTTATTTACCTATCATTAAATCTGTGTTTGTTAGAGGTAGCTTTTGACTAAAAAACAGCCTCCAGAGACCAGGTTGGATTACTTCCAGAAAACAGATTAATCAAAGTTTAAAATACTTTACACGATGTTTATTTCCTGACAAATTAGAATTTTTATCTGGTTCTCAGTCTATAATACATCCTTAATCTTCAGATTATTTTGAAACGAGACAGAGTAAACAAGTGAAAGAAAAATAAACTGCTTGCATTAAAATACAGAATTATCTAGAAAGCTAGTGACCTCCTCTGGCTGGATCTATTGCTACAGGGCTACAAAATGCCACACACATCGTCTTCTGCCCGCTCTTTTGGGGCGATTCAGTCCTGACTTACGATGCCTTTTCCCCCAAGTAATTATATAATTTAGCACGCTCTTTTCTCTTGCAAAACCTTAACTTCAAACTAAAAGTTGTATCTCCGGGCAGTTAGATATTCTTTCGGTAAAGTAAACAAATCCTGGAAAAAAACAGTTTGATACCTAAGGTAGAAGCGGACAATATTTGCAGGAGAAGAGGAAGCTCTGGCATGCACATCCAAACAAAAGGGAACAAGTGGTCTTTACTCAGAGAGCAGCTTCCTATTAAGACTCACTCCTTCGTACATTATGCCTTTCATCCCCACTCAACCACAAAATGATTTTGCTGTAGGAAATACAATGGTAGAAAAAGATTTACATTGAAAGAATCTTTAATAATAAACTGTTGCAGATCTGCCTACTTCCCCATGATTTATAATACAATAAACATCAGATTCTATTAAGTCTCATGCACTGAAGACATGCACTGAAAAACCGAATATGAAAGAACTCAATTCTTCCCATCTCCAGTACCATAATAGTGAAATGAGCATGTATAAATGTGCTAAGAGTATCTCTTTGCATCTTTTATAGCTTGTGTGTATTAATCTGTAAAGCTTATTAAGAAAGTCATTGCTATGCAAAGCAGCACCCAATCTCTTTCTCTTGCTTTTCAACAGAGTGCAGTGTTTAGCCAATAGGACTGGTCCCCTTCCCCTCATTCTGCATTCATAACATGCAACATTTGCACAATGTATCTCTCAAAGGCTGCTGAATAGAAAGCCTTAATACTCATGTAAACAACTGCAAACCAATTACTTAATGAATCAGGCCCACACATAATGAGGTGCCAGACAAAGAGCTATAAATGCATTTTTGCGCCCAAGCCTCTGCTTTAAAGTAAAATCCCTCAGCTGTAGTTTGGGCTTAACTGGCACATCATAATTATTGTCTCTAGGACATCAGAGGAAGCCATTTTTTTTTTTTTATTTAGGTCCAGCAGGGTCTTTTTCGAGGTCACTCATCAGCTCAGTGACAAAACAGAGCAAAGAAGAATTTATAAAAAGTACCACAGCAGTACTACACAGTTATGTTTATTCTCAAGTAGTGGGTTTCGAGACCACTTGTAAAAGCAATAAAGCACAAGAAGTGACTGCAGTAAGTGGAGCGCTTAAACGTAAGCGGCCAAGAAATTTCACTGCGTCCTGACCGCAAACAAGCAGCAAGCTGCATTTTCCATTTTGCCTGCTTTACTACTTTTGCTTCACTGGCTCTCAGTAAATCCAATGTCAAGTGTCCAAAAGCAAGAGTTTATTAATAAACTTCATGTTTAAAAGAGTACGTTATTTTTGAGGCATTCTGGAAACAAACTGAGCTGCCGCACAATTATTTTTAAAGCAACACCACAACGTATCAGTGCCTCAAGTGCTCTTGCTTCCCAGCAATGAGAGGCATAAAATTATACGGCAGAGTGATTTTTAAATCCATTACAAATAAGAATTAAAAAAAAATAAAAAAGTGTCTTATGAACAGCATCTGAAAAACACAGAAGCTGCCAAACATTATTAGCAAGCAAAGCAGTACCAAAAGGTTAAGAAAAAAAAAAAGCTTGGAAACTTTAAATAGTACATTTTTAATTATTTGTATTTAACATAGGTATTTAATAGTGATCCTGTAAGCAAGTTCCCCAAGGCCCAATCCTTCTCTTCCTGCTGTGCTGGGCTGCAGTGAATGACTAAAATTTAACATTTAAAATTCATCTACAGGAGTACCCTTGAATTTCATAACATTTGGTATTATTTGGTGCACCACTCTCAAGCAAAACTAAGTTCCAGAAAGTATTTAAAAAGAAAAGCTTGAATCATGAGAATTAGTCCTAAACAAAAGCATGAACGTCCTTCATCAATAATCAATACACTATTACAGCTTGTCTTTATTTACCATACTGAAGAATTGCAGGAAGATTATGGTTTTTAACAGAAAATACAGAACAAAACTTGCAAAGTCAGAATAGTCTTCTATAAGAAAACTGGTCTCATCAATAACAATACAAAGAAGCTACAGAAAGATATCAATGTCTTATCAGCAGAATGAGTTAAAAATTTATCAGGATGCTTTAAAGTCTTTTCCTGAGTGTTATTAATGGCCATCTTCAGCCAAGGAGCCACACAACAGCAGAACCCGCTTGCTGGGCTGTTCTAATAAGAGCAGATAAGAATCTAAAGCCAAGCCAATATTTCATGAGATGGCTGTGTTATATCCTATTTTCCGCTGCTGCTGCTTGACCACTAATTTGATTGTTGCTGTTTGATTACCATTACATGCCAATGAAGAATACAGGGAACATCTAACAGAACTGCTCAGGGACCAATAGCGAAGTGCTGCATTAAAAAGCACAGAAGTGTTTTTTGTTTGGTTTTGCTAAGAATAAAAAAAAAGAAACAAACTGCATTCTTTAGGTAAACAAAAGGCCATTAAACCTACTCAGTCAGAAAGCAAGACATATATTGTAAATATCCCAAAAATAACTGGGGGGGGGGGAGGGGGAGGAGGAAATCTATAGACTGTGAGAAGTGTTATCCAGTTACAGCTAGTTTACATCTCAGCTACATCAAGAAGAAACCCACCACTTTATTTCTTGAAGACTTTATGTTTTCTGTCTGCCCTTTTCCTGACAACTTCTATTGTCTGGCCTCTGAGTAGCCCTACTGAGAGCAGCTGTACACGCTAATTTGTGGTTCACTGAGATGTCAATTGAGTCTTAAAATGAGAAAACAACAGCTGCAAAACAATACTTGGCTTCGGTGCAAATATTTTCTAAGGTGTACCAGAGTTTAAGTTGTTTCATTAGACAAACCTAAATACAAACCTTAACCCTAGATCACATGAAAAAATAAAAATAATCAGGAATTCAGTCACATTCTACCAGCATCTCTCATTCTACTGCAACATTTCAAACGTTAAAGGATTTAACAACTTTACCTTGAGAGGTCACCACTTCTTTCACTGGATGAACTCCTTTCTGAACACATTTCTTGGCTTTCTTTTCTTTTGGAACTATCATTACCAATATCACAACCTGTTAAGTAAAAACACAAAATATAATTTTAAAAATAAGTCTGAAGACATACATCCTCTGCTTCCAGTGAGGTGTTATTCTGATGGTATTTTTGCACACTGCACAATACATAATAAATGCATCCACATTCCCTGCAATCAGTGAAACCCAAATGAGCATTTAGAAAAGCACACAGCAATATTTTCACTTTGTTTTCCTCTTGGAGCTACTCTCGGTTGTCTTTGCACGAGCTGCATGTTGTACACACGGAGTGGGCCAGGCACGACTGCCATGGCTGGACAGACGGACAGAGAAGTCCTCGCTCCTGGGCCAGAAGCCACAAGCCCCTTGTCATAGAAGACCCTTTAAGGCTCATTTACCCCACATCACATTCAACCCAGAGGGGCTCCATGTCACGTTTGGTCTTTGTCATGCTGGAGAGGAAAAAACATGTACCTATGTCTAGATTCTACCTCTGTTCCAGTTAGCTTCATTTTTCACTTTTGTTTTTTTTTGAACAACAGTCAGACCTCACAACGTGCCGTTCTGAGCAAGCACCAGCACCCATGTTATTTTGAAAAGGATACATGCAACAGCCATGCTGCTGGATCGATGAGAGAGTTTAGAGAGGAGGAACCACTACAGTTACAGGATGTGCCTCAAGATATTTTGCTCAAGATTAGGTAAAAATGAGTTAAAAATACAGAAAACAAGACTCTTTAATCACTTAAATTATCTGATGATTTTTTTTGTGAAACTTTTGCATGTTTTAATTCATTTTACACACAAAAAAAGTACATTGACAATAAGAATTGTATTCTATCACATCAACTTGAAGCAAAACTTAATTTTCTTTTCCTTTTTATCCTTTAGTTCTTATTTACTTAATCAGGAAAACGGGATATTTTTATTCTTCTTCCTCTTAAATATATTAATATGTATTAATTTATTTTAATATTATTTAATACAACACCTTTTTCAACCATTCCCTTTTAAATAGAAAGCTGCATTAGGGAAACAAGTCTTACGATCTTTAGGACTTAACAGCCAAACAACCCACTATTTCAGTCTTTTATCCATGCTTTCCTTTATCTCCTCTCTGCTCTGTGCATCTTGTCTCAGTTCTGTACAGATAGACTGATTTTTAAAAAGTAAATAGAGTAAAACTTATTCACTGGAATGGTACAATTGCTCATTTTCATACTTTCTAAAGAACATGACACTCAAGTACAAATCTCACTTTAAAAGGCTACTTTGTACTGCTAATTAGAATTGGGACACAACAAAACCTTTATACACCTGTGTATGATTTCAGTCTTCCCCTCCTGCCCCAAGACATTATAAACAAGCCCTGATCATGGAGGATTTCCCAGATGCAAGCTTGCCAGTAGCTCAGTGCACAGCGAGAAACCACTGGCCATAAAGAAATTAATATTTGTGCTTCTTTGCACATTACTTTCAGAAAGTAAAGAGAGAAATAATCTATTTCAATGTAATCATTTCAGAACCCCTTGAAATTGTTTTTCACTCCAGCAGTAAAACACTTAACAGAAGTGTATTTTTCAGGACTCCTCATGCATTGTTCAAAGTACAACGCACAAGCAGCTGAAATTACATGCTCATGTCTTGCCTGGGTGTAGAGCTGGGTTTACTCTGGGAGGGACAACCCTCATTGCCTCGACAACGTCTTGCATAAAGCAAGGTGTGCCCAGCTAACAAAATGCTGTGGGCAGTGGTCTGTGCAAGTATTCAGAACCCACCTGTGCGTACTCTCAGGCTTGGCTTCAGCAAGTTCACAGCTTGCTCCTAAGGTGAGCTCACTGCATTCCAAGAGGGAGATGAACATCTAGGTTGGTACCATCATGGTTTTAATGCCAGAGAAGTGACAGGTAACAGACCTGCAACCTCTGTATCTCTCTGGAGCAAACAAGCAAAGGATAGAGGAAGAGGGGTCCTCTGCTAGCTATCCTGATCCCTCCAGCTCTCACCCAGCAGTGGCCCTTCTGCTTGTTCCTTCCCTGACACGAGGGACTCCTCCTGCACCTCCACCCATGGCTCACACCATTACCCGTTCTGCAGCAGGGGCGTACCTACAAACCCAAAGAGGTGCCAACCATGCACAAGCAACTTGGGCGTGCCCATCCGCTCTGATCCATTTTTGTGCTGCATGTCCTAGTTTCTCATTATTCTGCTTAACGAGAGCTCCAGAAACCAGATACCAACACCTGTCCCTTCCTCGTATGAGCCTCCCCATCGGTCCTCCACCAGGCTTTTTCCATTCTTGCTGGACACTCATCCCATCCCCCCGTAACACGGAGCCCATCTCTGATCCAGATGTACCCACCACCCCTTACCCAGGGGCACTTCCAGCCCATGTCTTTGCCACCTTTGTTAAAACTCAAGGCAGGACGCTCTCGTCTTGCAGCTTAGCATGCACACAAGCCCCAAGACCATTCACCATGCTTTCAGTGTCTCCACTGGCTCTCCTTCCTCCACTACATCAAACAGTAGCACAAACTACTTGTTCTTCACCTTTGAGACCCTTCAGAGCCCAGCTTTGCCCTACCTGTCAGTTATAATACAATGCTGGGCTACCGATCCCTACTTCTGCTTTAATTACACCAGACTTCCTTGCCAATTAGTCTGATTGCCCCCTTGAGCTTGTGCTTGCTTACATGCTATGCACCCTACCCTACATCACCAGGTGATCTTTCCAGGCACTCACAAATCCACCAGCTTACCTTTAAAGACAGCCCGGGTGATTCAGCTGCGTTGCAATGCCCATGAAGCATCTGACGATGTTTAAGCAGTTACTGCACAGTAACCACTTCTTTGTGCACCAAGCAATCATTTCGCTCTTACCTCATTTTACCCCACTCATCTGCCTAATCCCCATGCCTTTAACAATGTGTCTGCATTGTAAGTTAACAGAAGAAAACAGTCTCAATTGCAGACGTTCAGTACTCATGACAAAAATAACCAACCTGGCTGTCCTGCAACACTTCATTCACCGCGGTGGTTAAGCACAAGCAATTGGGGCAATGCGCAGGGTGGGAAACAGAAGATAAAAAATAGATTGTTAGGAGAAGGTGTTGAAGCACTTTTCTTCACTCTGGATATAACCACATTGTGCAGATCAGGGTATTTTCCTTCACAAAGCCCACCATATTTCAGGCTAAACACAAATTACTGCCAAATTTAAAACAGTACATTTATAGGGGGGAGGTTGCTTTGTTTTGTCTTTTTTTTTCCCCCCCTAGCACACACGCCTTGTCCCCAAGCACAAAACAGAACACTATGGCCCTAGTAAAGAAGATGCACTGAGTGGAAAAGAAGCAAAAAATATACTGGTTTATAGCCCAGCAGCAACCATCAGCTCCATAGGACACAAAGGACAACCACCATGGACAAGCTCACATTAGTGGCAAGAAGCATCGCTTAAAAGATTTCTTGTAGCCAATTTCAATGGTGACGAAGGCTTCTGGAGTTCCTCAGCTCCATGTTAAAAAGCTGGCATTTTGAGCTGTATGAACGGCTGGTGCCTACTGTACAAACACAACTGAGGAAGCTTGATAAAACTCAGCCTTTAAACTCAAATTGGGATGTTAATAATGAAAAGTAAATTCTTAATCCAATTGTCTGAGCAATACTGCAGGAAAACGGAAGCTGTTTTGCCGCAGATGACACAGCTCTCCTCACACTGTTTCCCCCCCAGTGTATTCTTCCCTCCACTCAGAATTAGCAAAGGATCTGAGATACCACTGTTAATTAAAAAACACTCCACACTCTTCAACTTTGAATTAACTGCACAGTCTGTGTGGGTCTGAACAGCTTTCACGTCAGCTTTTACAATTCTATTTGAAACAAAATTTGTGTACTTTTCTTCATTCGCATTCCAGGAAAAACTAAAAACTGCCGCAGTTGCATAATGAACCAGTAGCATTTTGTTCTGTGCAACAGTTAAAATGATCTTTGACCCTGAACATACTGTACCAGTGCAGAATATGGAAGATACTTTTTCCCCCCTTCCATGTGTTGCCCTATAACCTAGGTGCCGGTGTTCATCAATTTATAGTTAAAACATCTCAGTGACAAAAAAAGGTGATGCTCTTGGCCTCCCACTTTCAACTTTTATATCTTTCTGATTGTATTATCTCTCAGAAAAAAAGCACGCACCTTTTAGCCATCAAAACCAGCATCTATACCTCTGTTACACTTAAAACCCTTTGCTGGAGGGAAAGTCATTATGAACACTGAAGAGGTTGTTGGTAACAACACAACATCTGACTTGGCACATCTGTAAGTGGGCGCAGTGCAAGCAATTCCCAAAGTTGCTGTTTTTCACAATGCAAACTGGGAGAACAGGAGTACTACTGTATTCACCCCAAGGCTCACGTGCAACCTATACAGTCCGTGAGTAAAACTGAGATCTGTGACCTAAGCACAAAGCACGTAAGCAAGCAGTACAAGTTGGCATTGCTCTACTGGGAGAGGAACAAGAGCACTCTGAATGGAAATTAAAAGCTATAAACAGCTATCAAACATTATTCCCAATAATAATCAGGAACCCCATATGCAAACAGAGGTAGCTGGGGGGCAAAAGATCCCAGTGCCTTTGCAAGCTTAACCCAGACATCTCTCTCATACACAAGTGAGAATACCCACAAAAAGGAACTTCACTGTTTGTGTACCTTTATCAACAATAAAATAGTTAGCAGCTTGAGTATTTCAGCTGTCACTAGACTTCAAAGTTAATAATGCCTTGAAAGGAATGTTATCTGGATCAGCTGAGCCTGCAAGCTGTGTAGTTTTAGTTACCTTGGCAATATTTATTGCATTCACATTCAGAAGTGCTGGTCAGTCTGGGCTGCCACGCTGCTAGCTGTGGCACGAAAATAGGGAACTAACAAATCTGAACAGCCTCCTCCACCACATTAACACTAATTACTGCACTTGCTGATCATCCACAAAGAGCCATCTGGGATTAAACGTGGGAAATGAGCTGCCGTGCCACTGCCAGA